CCCTTTTTTGCGCTCTGATTCACAATGTGACAATATATCAAATTTCATCAATAATACTTAAAAAAAAAAAAAAAAAAAAAATCCGAATCCTCCGTCTATTGGTGGAGCATGTTGCATCCCCGATTTCGTACGGCAATGCATGCTTTGCAGTGATATGTAAATTGACCACCCGTCTTCCCCCGAGTACAACGTACGGTCGTCGTAGCTGTATTGGGGCGAACATTCAGGCTAGGTACAGCGATAATGACCGTACGTTCTATTCGCGGGAAGAAGGGTAGCTTGGGTGTATTCCGTCTCTTTCTGAATTTGGAAGAGCCAGGCTTCCCATCGGTACCGTCATCCCCCGAACACAACGCACCCACCCACATTATGTATGTACACTAGCTGTCTTTCCGGTCAGTTGCATGCATAATGAGGGTGCGTTGTGTTCGGGGGAAGAGGGTAGCTGCGGTGGAACAGCATCAGACCCTCCAGACCCTCCAGACCCTCCCCCTCTCTTCTCTGCCCCTGCTGCAGCCCCGACTGCATGCGTGTCATCCTTGCACACGGGCCATGCTGATCTCCTTTCTCTGTATCGTTCCAATGTTAGCGGATGTCCCGATGGACACTGCAGCCCCCCCTGCCCTTCCCCCACACACTCACCTCCGTGACGACAACAACAGGATCCACGTTCCCCATTCGCCCATTCCCATTCCCATGGAACCAAGTTCCCATCCGTCCATTCCCATTCCCAGGATTCCCATTCCCCCATTCCCATTCCCATGGAACCAAGTTCCCATTTCGCCCATTCCCATTCCCATTGAGCCAAGTTCCCATTCGCCCATTCCCAGTCCCATGGAACCAAGTTACCATTCGCCCGTTCCCATTCCCCTGGAACCACGTTCCCAGTTCACCCATTTCCATTCCCAGCGACCACATTCCCATTTGCCCATTCCCGTTCCCATTCCCATTCCCATTCCCATTCCCATTCCCTTGGAACCAAGTTCCCATTCCCAGAAACCTTCCCAGTCCGCCCATTACCATTCCCAGAACCCTTCCCCATTCGCCCATTCCCATTCCCTTGGAACCGAGTTCCCATTCGTCCATTCCCGTTCACCCATTCCCATTCCCCCGGAACGTTCCCATTCCCATGGACCTTCCCATTGACCCATTGGCCCATTCCCATGAATCCCATGGAAAACCTACACAACTTGAGGAAAACCTAGGCAACTTAAGGAAAACCATTGCCCTATCTATCGTGCATTGGCTTCCAGGATCTTGTTATTGATGATGATAACTTCTAATTCATCGATTTGATGATCTATAGTAAGTTGCTGCTGTCAATCCGAAACCGAAGTGGACATTGTTTAGATCGTTAATGTATGTGTTGTAATGTGTGGCTTTGCTATGGGGTCTCTACAGACAGATGAAGTGTGCAAGACCTATTTGTTGTTCAGGGCTGCATTGCGGCTCCGTCAACGGGGAGACCACAGGTGGTCAGTGACTGTCTCGCTATGGTGCTCGTCGGAACATGCTTGCTGTGCGTAATCCAAGGGTCCAAGGGGGGGGCTACTTGCGTGGGTTGTGAACGAAAGCACTCCACACAATTGCACAGCTTGTGCTGGCCGGCGTCGGCGTAAGTGTTTGCCAGTATGTGTTCGGTATGTGTTTCCAATGATGCCGGTGTAGGACTCTCTCTGCCTCACAGTTAAGATGACTATTTTCGTGAAAGTGACATATTTGGCATACTCACAAACGGTGGGGGGTTCTCGCGTCATTGTACATCATTCCAGACATTGAAAACTTTGTGCGTCAGACCCAAGTTCGAATCCAGGGGCAATCGGACGAGCAGAGTAAAATAATTCTTTTAAAAGAACACGAAATTGCGCGCAGGATGCCGGTGGCATTGCATACTATCCATGCATTGGATGTTGTTGGATGTAACTTGTACCCATAGATTGGGCAGCATTGCGCAGCCCTTCGAGGTTTGACGCAACCGCCAATCCAATCAGGATTCGTCGATCAGGCTAGAGAGGTCTTTGTCTTTTTTTCAAAGGATGCAGGATTACAATGTCAATGTGGTAGCTGGCCAGATCCAGAGGTGGAGAAAGGGGTAGAGGAGGAGGAGGAGGAGGAGGAGAAGGTTGTGGATGTGAAAATGTGGAATGGGCTCCTAAATTTGGCGACGTCTTGTCGCTGCCAGCGCACCCAGCCTCATGGCTGCACAATTCATTGGTTTGCGGTATAGCGGATGCCTTATGCTCAAAGTTCCGACCGTTTCTCGTTGTTTCTCCTCCTCCTCCTCGTCCTCCTCCCCCTCCTCCTCCTCCTCCTCCTCCTCATCTTCCTCCTCCTCGTCCTCCTCGTCTTCGGCGTCGGGGTCGTCATTGTCCCCCTCCTCCCCATCTTCTCCAAAGACGGAACGGAGCCGGCTATCTCTGGACTATGGTATCCAAATGAGCAGCGCCAATTGCCCAGAGCTTTATGCAGGAATGTGTGTGGAGCTTCCTGTCATGAAGAATTCTGCGTATGTTTCGGTGAGCGCACAGGTCGTGGCTCACCCGCCTTTGTTTGGGAGGGGGGGGAGGGAATTCAGCGTCTAGGTGTTTATGACGAGAGGCAGAGCCAGAAGTGGACGTGACTTTCTCAGGGCATGCTCACACTAGTACTATCTTAAATTTATCTGACTGCATTTACCACCAGACCTGTATGCATCTGGCTGCAATTCCGTCCAGAAATAAGTAAAAAAGTCCTAGTGTGAGTATGCCCTCGGTCATGTCTCCCTCTTTGCAGGTGAGGACAATGAGGTAGGGAAGCTGGTAGGGAGAGCAATTCTTGAACGCTTGTTGAGGGACAAACAGAGCGTGGAGGGAGAAACTGTGCAGGCAAGCCTCCTTGCTCATAGACTCCTCTGGTACACGGATGTTTGATGATTGTACATTCTTTTACTGACACCTCTGCTGTGAGAAGATGAGGGCACACCAAATGGCAGGCACCCTTACTCCATCATTCCCAATGGCTCAATTCTACTGGTGGACCTGTCTGAGGGAGCTGCCGGCTGCGTCATCGTATTTGTTCCCAGACTCGGTATTGCGATCGTCTAACTTATCCAGATGCCGTCGAGCAGTGAGGCACTGCAATGAACTGTGTCTCTATCCCTGTAGCCGCAGGACCAGTCTGGTAACTAGGAGGACGTTGCGAAAAGAGAGCAACTTGGAGGGACTATTGCTTGGTGCTAATCAGGCAGCGCCGGTGTGCAAGGTTTGCAGCAGAAGCAGAAGCAGAATGCGGGGATACACGTCACTTGCCAGCAAATGCCCCGGCTTGTTGCCCAACTTTCGAAAGACACCCACTCCATCACTTTATGCCTCCCTCTCCCATCGTCGCCGTCTATGGACAGATGTGAAGAAGGTAAAAAGACGGGTTGCCTTTCCACTTTTGGTGGCAGCCTCGGTAGATTCCAATTTAGGGACAACACCTGAACAACAAGGCGCGGGAACAAAAGACAGCGATTGGCGGAGCCGGGCTAAGCCAATACGACCAGGGTCAACGTACCCGGCCAAGGAACATTGCAGCCAGTGTGGGTTGTGCGATACGTACTACGTTGCGCATGTGAAGGATGCGTGTGCGTTCTTGGGAGAGGGGATGTCGCGGATCGATTGGATGGAGGAAAGAGTGCATGGCCATCGCCGCCACCGAGGTGAATCGACCGACGAGTTCCACTTTGGAGTCCACAAGGAGATTCTATTTGCAAAGAAAAAGGAACCTGTTCTCGGCGCACAATGGACTGGAATTGTTACCACAATTGCCGTGGAAATGTTGCGCAGCGGCAAAGTGGAAGCGGTGGTTTGCGTACAAAGTGACCCTGACAACCGTTTTCAGCCTTACCCGGTGCTAGCGCGCACGCCAGAAGAGGTTCTCGCTGCTCGTGGTGTGAAGCCGATGCTTTCGCCGAACCTCAACACACTTGCACTTGTGGAGGCGGCGGGTGTGAAGCGGCTTCTCTTCTGCGGAGTCGGCTGCCAGGTTCAAGCCTTGAGGTCCGTCGAGCACCACTTGGGATTAGAAAAGCTGTACACCCTTGGCACAAACTGCGTAGACAATGGGACCCGACAAGGTTTCGAGAAGTTTCTGAGCGTTGTCAGTGACGATCCGGCGACCGTTCTTCACTATGAATTCATGCAGGACTTCAAAGTGCATGTAAAGCACACGGATGGACACACCGACGAAATCCCATACTTCTGTTTGCCGAGCTCCGAGCTGAATGATGTAATAGCACCTTCCTGCTACAGCTGCTTCGACTATGCCAACGGCCTAGCGGACCTCGTTGTTGGTTACATGGGGGTTCCTAAGCAGCCGGGTGTTCCAATGACGAGACATCCACAGTATGTTGTCGTGAGGAATGACAGGGGTGTGGAGATGCTGGATCTCGTTCGCCCGCAGCTGGAGACGACTCGGACAGTGAGTGAAGGTGATCGGCGAGCGTTTGTGATGCAGACTGTTGAGGCCGATGATAAGGCCAAGCTTGATGTTGACAAGAAGACAAAGCCGATGCCGAGGTTCGTTGGGAATCTTATGGCGTTTCTTCTGGAAAAGGTGGGCCCTAAGGGGTTAGAATTTGCGCGGTTCTCCCTGGACTACCATACTATCCGCAATTATCTCTATGTGCATAGAGTGTGGGGGAAAGAGAGGGCAGATTCACATGTGCCTCTGTATGCTAAGCAAGTCGTAGACTTGTACAATCGTAATGGCGAGATCGATAGGCTCCTTGCGTGTGACGTGGAGGCTTACAAAGCAGCAATCATGCCTCCGAAGAAGCCTTTGGGAACGATTAGCAAGCAAGAACCTGGGTTTGCCTCTCGCAGGGTTGGCTCACCGTCGAATGCAGAAAGAGACTCTCTCTCTAAAGAAGACCCTAAGCGGACGCGTCAAGAGCTGGATGTCGAATCTGCTACTATTTCTCAAGAAAATGAGCTGTTGGCCGTCTTTGTGGGAGCTGGCTTGGCTGCCTGGCTCCTTTACAACTTGTTCCAAGCAGGACTCTTCAACGATGATCTTAGTATCCACCAGTCAGGATTACTGCTGCAAGTCTTACATGTCCACAACTTCACATGAGTGTGTGTGTGTGTGTGTGTGTGTGTGTGTGTGTGTGTGTGTGTGTGTGTGTAGACTGTGTGTGTGT